TTCAGCTGGCCTTGGTCTTATTATGTGTCTAATTATATGTGTTTTTCCTACTTTCTTGTTATCTAGCTATCAATTGTTGTGTGAAGCCCATGTTTATTATTATACGAGAGACCAGGAGCGGAGAGAAGTAATTAGATAATGTTCGTTGATTTTGGGTATATAGCTACGCCTATTGATAATTGATGCCTGAGTTTCGACTTTATACAATAGTCAAGTATTTTCTATGCATCCTCGGGCTGCATACCTAGCCACCCGCTTGTTGGAGTGACCTTGGTGTGTTAATAGCCAGTATTATTAAAAGCGGCTGCTGGTTGTATAACCTTTTAATACACCACGATGCTCTAGGAAGACCAACCAACTTTAAACCAAATGAGCAAGGGCACGAAGAAATTTTAAGAAAACTGTCGACTGAATTATCATTTCCTCTATGCTATGCGAGAGTTTATATTGCTAAAATGGCAGTACCAAGCCATGTTGTAGGTACAGGTCCGTTATACATTTATAGACTTTCAACATTAAAGAATGAGAAGCCTAGTGAGTACACAGAAGGTAATGATAATTCAGCCTTGTTTTATTTTTTTTTTCTCCCCATTTCTTAAGTTCGTTAGACTTGTATAGAGGAGTTCCTTGTTTATACTTGTGTAAAGCAGACAGCTGTGGTGTGTGGTATCATGTCATATAGATGATTTGCAGAAAAGAGAAAGGAAACACAAGAGGTATAAAAGCGGGAGAAAGAAAACAAAGGTATAGGAAAAGAAACCCTTCGAAGAAACATGAAACGTGAACACCGAGAGGAAGCTATAAAGGTTTGGTATAAGTAAGCGAGAGCGGGGTGGGGGTATCCGATGAAACAAGGCAGAGAACAAGAAAGATGAGACATGGTATAATAAATGGAAACAGGAGTAGCTCCTACCAAAAAAGCAACTTCAGAAGAGAGGAATTCTCCCCACAATGTTAAGCAAGAAAGGAACAGTTGGATCGACCAAGAGTTCGATGAAAATATAGTGTCAGTGACTTTTCGAAAGAAGGGGAAAATGAAACTCATTCAACGGTGTTCTTTTTTGGTATCATTGATGACTGGGTTGGGTATAAATAATTTTTCGACCTTATTTTCCGTCGTTTCATGATATAAGAGATGCGGGTGTGTGGAAGAGTTGGCTGCTTAGCGAGGGGGGCCGATAGGAGCAGAGTAGGAGTTGGAAGTGCTGGGTCGTCCGCTGTCGAAGGAAGCTCGTAAGTCGTGTCTGGGAGTCATGTCACCTCCAGACACTGATCCAGAGCCCCCGGTTCCGAAGGGGAACTTATTGTCAAACCGAGTGGGCCAACCGTTACCTGATGGAGTGAGTAGGTCTTCCTTTGCTAGATTGACGCCAGAGTCATTCCAAGGGTTACGGTAACCACTGTCTCGAGATTCCATGGAGACAAGAGAAGCTTTTGAGGCGTTGCTGGAAGCGTGTTTGAACAGAGAGCCTGGCGAGGAAGATTGATTCTTTCGGCCGATGAGGGATGAGAAGGATGCGATAGAGCCCGGTTTTCGAAGGCGTCCAAAGATGGAGCCGCGGTCGGCAGAGTCATCAGTAGCAAAGCTGGCGCGGATAGGTGAGTCTGCAACAAGCGGAGGAGGAGCATGATGAAGAAGCTTGGAATCGAAAAATGGAAGCGAGTCTTCGAAGGAATCGGACTTAGGCCGGGGGATGCTGCCCTTGACAGTCGTGGCGTCTAGACCGTGGGGAACAAGGCGCGAAATAAGAAAATCAACAGCGTCTTTAATGCCACCAGCATTGTTACGAGTGAAGTTCATATCAAGTGTATCTTCAGATAGAGGCTCTGCATTCTCCGGGTTAACAATGGCTTGGCGGGTTGCTGTTCCCAGGGAAAGCTCGATTTCATATTGTTCTCGCAGATTTCGGCATATGACTTCCGAAAACTCGGGCGTAAGGAAGAACGCTCGAAGTTCATCGGAGACGCCGAACACCATAGAATGGCTTTCCGGGACCATTCCCTATAGAGTTAAGTTAGCAATGATAGGAAGAAAACGCCGAAATAGAAGAGTTCAGCAACGTACCAAGAACGCATCAACGGCCTGTGGTACTTGATATTCTGGGCCAGAGATAGTAACCAGATCACTGGCCGTTTCTGTGCTTGGGAAGTCAATCTTGCAATTCCACTTCTTCTCCAGCTCATCAATATCCTTGATCCTTGCAACCAGATTACGATGGTAAAGACGGTTGACGACGACGGTCTCCGAGACGAACTCGGCATCCTAGGACTCGTTCAAAGTGGACATGAGCAAAATCATCCCTGGTTTGTTGTGTCTATATGAGGACGACTCACGACTTTCTCAACCATGTCCATAATTTCCTGTTTGACTAGTTCGAGATTCTGTGCGTTCCTTGCTGGGGTACGACAGATAACGTTCTCGACTCGGCCATCGTCGTCATCTTTTCCGGCGCCGCCTCTGTCCATAGCATTGGAAAATTTGACGAAGACAGAATATTTCTTCATGACACGCTGAATATGCTGGCCACCGATACCGATGATACGTTTGTGATATTGGTCTGGAACATGGAAGGAAATAGATGCTGGCATCTCTTGCTCAACAAGGTGGAGACCCTGTGTAACGGCTTCATAATCATTGGCACAAACATCGATATAGAAGTTGTACTCGTTGAAGCCGTCGAAGATAATTTGGACGTTTCCTACAACTATAGAACGTTAATACGAAGGATCAGATGATTTACAAACACATATTTTTCCAATATGGGATAAGCTACTTACTTTGGCTCATGATTTTGTTAATCTTGCCATTCTTCTTACCGCTCACGAACTCCTTGTGTTCATTGGCGAGCTCAATCTTAACTTTCATCTGGTGCGGGGACCTTTTGACGAAGGGAATTTGATGAATGACCATCATAGCAGCCTTGACAGAGTCGTCTGAGCCGTGGATGTGGAATGTTAAGTTGTCGAAAGTGACGTCCGCACCAGAATTTGCACAGATATCAGAAAGCATGGTTCTGACGTCTGCTGGGGATGGGGTTCGCATCTGTGGATTGTCTGCCATGAGCCACCATGTAGCACCATAAAATTGACCAGCCTAGAACTGTTAGTGGTACTCGATACCAGCTGATATGGAGACAAATAACTTACGACATTCATGAGCTCACGGATAGTACGCTCGACATGCAAGACATCTGTTCCCTGGACCCTAATAGAGCTAGTCCCACTGCCTAGCTGGGGAAGTAGAACAAAACACCCATTTGCCTCCATGACCTTCTGGATCTTGTCCAAGCGCTCAAGGATGATGCTGTCAACCTTTTCGGGGTGGATGATGGCTTCCTTGACGTAGATCTTGAGGACAGCGACTAGATCGCGCAGCTTTTGTTTAACGAGGTTGATATCCTCTTGGCTATTTCCAGTGATATATACTTCGTCCTCGCACCGTCTCGTTGCACCCGGGGGCATGTAGCCATATACACGGGGAAACGGGGGAGGGAAATAGATAGCAGTATTTGTGGTGGCTTCAATCATTTTAATGTTCTTGCGTGTACGGCCACAGACAAGGAAATGAGTACTCAATTCTAGTCTTACAGCATCAACGCGGCGTTTGAGCTGGATATTTAAGTCAGAAAAGAAAGGCCATTGGAACAAAAAGGAAGCAGAAGGAGTGCAACGTACTATCTGATCGATCATGATCAATACTCTTGACTTTGCATGTTCAGCACTCTCTGCGTCACTGTAGATGGCAATCCTGAAACGTCGGTTCAGCCCACCATCAGCAGAGTAGCCATAAGAGGAACTGAGGGCATTGTCAGCATCAACAATCTTGGGGCTAAGCAGGAAGATATCCGCTCCGGTGTAGCCCGCCAATATATCGATATGTTCGAGCACAATCTTGCGGATTGAATCGGTCTCCTTCTGCAAGAGGAGGTCGACGTCGACGTCAATGGTCAAACTCCGCTAGAGTAACGGTCAGTATTCTGTATAGATCAAGAGGGCAACGGGACTACATACCAGGACGATTGGCGTTTCCCGATATATCCTGGCCTTCATTTGCTGTACCATTTCTGCTTCTCCTGAGATGCAGACGTTGGTGACGAGCCCGTGATGACGTCTCTGCATGGGAGAGGCCATCTTGGGCTCGGACGAGGTGACGGTAGCCTCGATCCGGCCACCACTACTCTCACTCATCTGACGGCACAACTTACGCAGCGAGTCAACATGCTGCGTGTGGACTGGCAGACGGTGGGTAGGGGTCCCCTCTGGAGTACCCTCCGGAAATGTCCATCGCTGGAAGGCGTTTGGAGACGAGTGCAGAATATCTGCAGGATCTGGGCCAGGCAAATTCGAGGAAAATGGTATATTAAAGGATATATTAATCAGCTGCGGTTCAACGGAAGGAGCAGCAGACACAACCGTTCCGGCGGGGGTGCTGGCACCACTGGTAGGATTTGGAGAGGCCGATTGTGATGGCTGATGATGTGGCGGGAGCTGCTGCGATTGCTGCTGCTGTTGTTGTTGCTGTTGCTGTTGCTGAAGTGGGAGCTGCTGATGCTGCTGGGAGGGGTGCTGCTGGTGGTGCGGCTGCTGTGGAGGTGCCTGGCCGGGTCCCTGGGGACGGCGATACTGCGAGTTGGGAGCATCCTGCTGAGGCCGTGACATGCCAAAGTTGGGCGTCATGCGTTCCCAGCCATGGCGAGCCTGGCCGGTGAAGTTGGAGATCTTATGCATCGTCTAGGGCGCCAGGGTGGAAGGGAGATCGCGAGTCCTAACCAGAGGCATACACGGAGACGAACGGGGGTACGATCAACGACGACAACGAGTGCTAAACACGACGAGAAAGAAACGAAGACGGAGAGACGAAGGCGACGAGAAAGAGAAGCGAGGGGGGCGTGAGAGGTGGTGAGAGGGAGAGGGAGAGGGGAGGCGGACGGAGGAGGAGGAAGAACGAGCAGCGGGAGAGAGACGGAGGGTCGAGGTTGAAAGATCCAAAAGAGGCAAAAATGAAGCTGAAGAGGAAGAAAAAAACTAAGAGGGAAAAAGCGAAAAAAAGAGAGAGAGAAAAGGGAAGGCGGTGGGCGGGCGCGACTCGTTTTTTGGGGGGGAGGGCCTTCTTTTCTGCCAGCGCTAGTCCTGGAAGGGGATAGCGTTGGTGACACGTGAGAGAATATTATATAATATTTGAGTAAGCAGTTAAAGATGACGACCGAAAGACGCAAGCAAAAGACGGCGAAAAGAAGAAGGAAAAAAAGCGAGAAGAGCGAGAAGAAAAGGCAGAGAGCAGGTTGAGAGGAGGTGAGAGGGGTTTGAGAAGGGGTCAGAAAGGGCTAATGGGGGCACGGCGGGTGGTGAAGATGGAGGTGGATGTGACAAGGTGGCAGGACGAGAGAGACTTTTGGGCTGAGAGTTGGAAAATCCAGGAACCCAGGCTGGAGCGTAAGAGCGAAAAAGCAATATAGGCTGCCTTGGTAGCGTACTTGGGCTGTGGAAAGATGGAGCAGCGAAGGGTGAGGAAGAAGATGAAAAAAAGGAAAGAAAAGAATCAGCAGGAGACGGCTTCAGCTCCAGCTTTTTGAAGGATGCCCTCGGAGGAGGGCAAATGCATGACTTCAACGCTAGGAGCCAGAAATACGGTACGGCCACAGAGAGCGAGAGACATGAAGCTGTGAGAGTTGTTGATGTCATTTCAGGTGTATTTCACGGCGCGTTGCTCTGTCCGTGGTCCAGGCAAACATTGCCAGCACCAGCATTACCCTACCACGTACTCTGTACATCGCGAAGTATATGGCGCTACATGCAAGCAGAGAGACAGATATGGAGACTACGCCGTGCAACTTGCATGTTGGACGGTGAGATATGCATACCTTGTCACTGCTATAGTCCAGGGTTTGTCGTATCTTTTCTCTGCGCTGGGACGAGCAGGGATCCGTGTCCCAAAACATCCCTGAGACGAGTCTGGCCACAGGCCCTCTTTCTCTTCTTCGGCTGAATGGATGGCAGCCACGGGCGAAAAACACAAGAGATATCCTGAGTGTGCGTTAACTGCCGGCCTTGCCGCCGTTGATGATGCAAACATAAGACTTGCCCACGGTTCACCCAGCAAGCCTCCTACATGGTATTCGCCTCTTTGGCGCATAATCTCTGCCCGCCATGCTTTTTTTAGCAGATACGATAGGATGTATTCATTTTTACAATATTTACGTTATAGTTGGTTTCCTATGTACAGACAGAACAACTAGTTCGTCGCCTTGAAGAACTGCGGAAACAGGGTCCGAATCTCCTCAAGATCGGCGATCTGATACTTGGACGCCCGGGTTTCTGGCGCCGGTAGGGTCGGCTCGACAAAGTGAATTGTCGTCCAATTGTGAGCCTGGGCATGACGACAGTTAAGGTGCGAGTCGTCTGCGGAACAACTCGTTAGAAACCCAAAAAAAAATCCAACCACGCAATTAAAGCAGAGCATACTCCGTACAGAGTAAGCGTATTCAAGATGCAAACAAAACTTACCAACGAAATAGCACTCTTCTGGCGAAGCAGCTCCCGCCTCCCTCTCTGCCTTCAGGTACATCTCCCGATCTGGCTTGCAGACAAGCTTTTCTGCACCATAGTCGCAGTAGGTGATACCCTCAAATAAATCATCCACGCCCAGAAGTTTGACTACTCTCTTCCCATGAGTGACGTATGCATTCGTCAGCAACCAGAGCTTTACTTTGGTTTTGTCAAAGTCCTCCAGCAACGTCCGGAGCTTCATGTTGGGCTTCAGGATGTCGTCTAGTGGCAGGGCATCGTCGACTTCCCGATTGAACATGAGCGGGTCGATCTTGTGAAATCGAGTCAGCCCTTCGATTGCCAGGCCGTATTCCTTGTAGTAGCGGTGGTGAAGCATCACTGCATCCTCCACATCGAGGGACAGGTGTTTGACAAAGAACTTGTCTACGGTGTCACCATTAGCAAGGTCGCTCATCCATACACCCCATCATTGGCAACTAAAGAAGCATTATGAGACGTCTAACCAATGAGTTCCTGCATCAAGTCATGGATTTTGCTATCTGGCCGCCGAAGGTTATGACCGTTAGCTGGCTGTTCTAAGTAGCAACCACCCCCGCCTGGCGTTATATATTGCGCAACACACCCCGTGAGTAGAGCTGCCCATTCAAAGAGGAACATGTTAGCATATATCCATCCCCATGTCCTGAAATCATTATAATAGATCATCGTAGCTGAGCGCCAATCTGGTGTTCAAAAGGCTCCCCTCGGGGGCCTGTCACATATCAGGACTGGTTGATGTCATAGAACGAACGTACACAGTTGTCAATGTCAAAGAAGAACACCGGTCGCGAGTCCCGAGTACCATTTGGTTCCTCCATCTTGTCACCTATGCGTGATATCCGCCTTCCGCAAGTCAACTACTACTATACTCCGTAGCTTCGTCTTCTTTCTCCTTCTTGTCCTCCGCGCTTCATCGCTTCATCGTCTTCTTCTGACTCTTTCTTCCTCTCGTCCGAAGAGACCTCTTGGATTACATAATCAAGGATAAGATGACCTAAGTAGTGAGGTCCCGCCAAGGCCAATCATTATTCACGTGACACGGAATTTTGAAGCTTCCGTCAAATTTCAACTTGAAGGTTCCATTTGAAAAAAGGCGACCTAGAGGAAGGAAAGTCAACAAGAAGACAGCTTCGAGCATCGCGTCTCGTTTTGCTCCTAGATTCGAGTGAACTCGCTCGAGGGTCATGATGCTCGCGTCCGGTGGCCATTTACACGGCCAGGTCACCTTTACGTCGGTGTCTGCTCCGTCTGCCCGCAACGACTCGCAACTGCCTACCAAAGAGGTGGCCGAGTATGAAAAGATATTGAACATCCGCGACCAGATCTTTGCTGGCACTCACCCTAGGCTGAAAGTCCCGGAGAGTGTGATTCGCAAAGTTCCTCCGCGGACCGTTGGGCAGACGTCGCCGTCGTCGACTTCCGCGTCTGTCGTCGCCCCCAGTTCTCAAGCTTCGGCTTCGGAACCAGGACCCCCTTCTTCTCTTCCTCCGGCACACCATGCTGCTCAGGGGACGGTCACATCTTCTTCCTGGCCTCAGCTGGCGAGTACTGCTGTGGGCGGAGACACTGACTCCCCCGTCACAGGCGCGTCGACTCCGAAGCCAACATCAGAAATAGACCCTATCTTCCTGACAAAATCAGATGATCTCATCCGAGCAGAGACTCAATTGCAGCGGCAGCGGATTGAACGTGCATTGCGAGATTATGCAGAGCAGAAGAGGGTAGAGGAGAGGCAGAAGCCGCCGTTGCAGGAGCTAAAGCCTGACTTTGACGTCTCGGATGTTCTCAACAAGGCGTTGGAGATAGTGAAACCGCTTTCCCCTCCTTACGATCAAGATGATAACACTGGTATTGATGGTGATGGTGATCGGGCTAATAATGGCAATGCAGCCAGTGATTCCTTCGACGAGAATTCCTACTACTCGAGCAGAGCTCCCGATTCGCCGCAAAACGAGGAATACGATGAAGAAATGGCACCTGCGCCGCCGCTGGCTCAGAATATGGATACAGACGAGAGTGACGAAACTGTTATCGTAGATCGTGCCGGTGTTCATGAGCCTGAGCATGTTTCTGCCTCTGGTAATCACCATCTGCTTGATCAACATGCTAACATTGACGATGATGCAAGAAGGGATCTGGAGAATATTCACCCGTGGACTGAGGATAATGAAAATCATTACTCCCCGCCAGAGCCGTATGAGGAGCCAGAGTATTCCCCGCCAGGCCCTGACCTAATGGTTAATGGGCGACAAGACTTACTAGAGCCCAGCTATCTTAGCCCATCAAGTAGACGGCAACCCCTTCAAATGCAACAGCCTCCAGACCAACCGTCTCCAGCTCCTAAAAATTTACGGGTGGTGAGAAACCATATCACGTCTCCAGCAGCACCCCAGCCTTCCCGTGTCTCGCCTCTTGCTGTTACAAGGGTCTCATCAATAACACAGCCCCGCCAAGGTCGACAAAGTAGACAGTCTGTGAAGGCACCTGTTGATCAGGGCTCTGCACGTACTAGTCCAGAGACCGGCCATTCTCAGCAGTTAATGTCACGGAAACGTCGTCGCATTCAGCAAGCTCAAGACAAGAAGAAACTCGCGGAAGAGAGAAGAGCCGCTGCATCTCCTGATATGCCATATATTAAGCCAGAGCCAGTCTCTCCCCCGCCATTCATAGATGCTCCTCCAGCAGTGTCCCATTATCCTAGGAGCCGGTTAGTTCAGGAAGTGCCGACTGACGTTGACTATGTGTCTCGTCACGACGATCATGTTATAGCTGGTCGTGCTCCGGCGTATGACGATGGACATGGTAGGAACTATGAATTGGACAGTCCAATTGAGCTACATACCCCTCGAACAACTTCGAGAATAGGATATAGACGCCCTATTCGGGATGAGCATGACCTACGACGAGTGGCTAGTTTACAACATGCTCGACAGGCAGAGTATGTTCAAGAGTATTCGGAGCCGATTGCCGAGATATCTCCACGCCATGGGCGAGCTGTATCATACGCTGAGCCCATTCACTCGGAGCGGCCTAGGTACCACGAAGAGAGCCAACCGGCACAATATACCACCACCAGAAGATACATGACCAGGCCACTCTCACCCCAGTACCGTGAAAGTTATGCCCCAGTTCGCGTCTCTGAGTCCCGTGTCATGGGCCCTCCTCCGTCGCAAAGACGCATCGTAGTTGATGCGGAAGGTAATAGGTTCTACGAGTCAATTGATGCACCGCGTGCTATGCCTCCAGTATCAGTGCGGCCGCCCAGAGTCGAGGCCTATGACGGAGTCAGTCATGCCCCTACTCGGTCTATGTCGATAGTTGATGATCACTACCGAGACCGTAGGTACATTCAGGAAATGCCACCCCCTGAGATTACCTACCGTCGTAATGCTGGTCCCGGTGCAGGCCCTGGCTCAAGCTATACTACAGGCAACGAACTTGGTGATCCTCGATACTATGACAGCGAGGCCGCGGACCGTGGACCAGTGATGCGTAGCGCCAGTGTACAAGTGATAGACTATCCATCGCGCCAACCACAACACCTCCGCCAGCCTCAACCATCATTCGTCGACGAGTCTCACTTTCCTCATGAGGAGATCGTACGTGTGGCTAGCGTGCGCCCCCCACCTGTTGGCGTACCTCGATATGAGGAGCATCACGAAGTCCGGCCTCGCATGACAAGTGTGCGACCTATGCGACGTGAAATGAGTGTCTACGTTGAGGATGAAGCTGGTCATGCTAGGGAATACCCTCCCGTAGAGCGATACAGTGGGGGCCCCAGCTACACTGCACGACCAATGAGAGAAGAACGCTTCTACGAAAGCGCCGGTCCAGGTAGAATCGAGCATGACGAAGGCTCTGAGGTCATTCGACGAGTATCTCGACGATATTAAATTCGGAATTTTTTGTTTGTTGGTATTTTGTTTAATTATGACCGCTCCTTTGGAATTATATACTTTTTTTTGTTAGATACCCCTAGCGTATATGAAAGGAAGGTGTTGGAATATACCGCGCATAGCGCTGTTTGTTTGATAGCGAACTCATGATGTCCATGTTTCTCAGCATCTCAGCATCTTTGCTCTTCATTATCCATTGTCGAACTTTGATATTCACTGTCTAAAAGCGGCCGCAAATATGCATTAGCCTCTCTAAACCAGCACTGGATCGTTCCTGATGATTACATAATAGAGTAAATAGCAACAACCTTAAAGCTGCCCAAAACACATCAAAGGACAAGCAATGAAAACGGGAGAGCTTTTTTCTGCAACAACACTAGGCCTACGGAAAAGGGCTGCTTTTGCTTTCTTTTTTCCACTTATCCTCTAAGTTTATTGTCGCCCGACATAATGGTCGGGTTTGCTGCCGGCCAGCTTATCAAGCTTGCGGACGGTCGCCACGCGAGAATTCGATTCATCGGGACAACGCGTTTTGCCCCTGGAGAATGGATCGGATTGGAACTCGAAGACGCAACGGGTAAAAACGATGGCTCGGTTCAAGGAGAAAGATATTTCGAGTGTGAATATGGATTTGGCATGTTCGTCCGGGCGTCTGCCATTGTTGAGATTGTTGAGCAGGCGAGGAAAGAAGAGCCCAGGGTTGCGCCGAAAAGTGGCCTCGATGGCAGGGGAAGACCGGGGTCGATGATTGTGCCTCCCGGAGGCGCAGTGGGAACAAGAAGACAGAGCTTGATGTCATCTACACCGGGGGGAAAGAAGTCGAGTTCTGCTGCTTCAAGTCCTTCGCCTGCTCCAAGAGCCTTGGGTCGAGTGTTACGGGTGAGCTATACATTTTAACTTTCTCCAGTTACTCTATGTAGTATTGTTGCTAAGAAGCCGTGCGGACTGTGCAGTCGCCTACAAAATCACCGGTGAAACAGTTGGCTGGACCCGGTACTCCTGCTGCATCCCGGGCTTCCTCGACAGCTTCGAGGACTATTCCAAGCCATAAGCCCAGACCAAGCTTATCAAACCGCAGCTCAGCAGCTCCTACTCCCACATCTACAACGTCTAACTCTCGTTTATCATTACGCCAATCCCAACCCCAATCTACGATGGGACCTCCCGCGAAAACCACTCGTACAGGGTTGGCCGCTTCGCGTACAACCATAAGCCCGGCCACATCCAGACGTATGTCACTAAAACCAGCTACAGCGAAGTCACCGGTGATGGGCAAAGTGGAAGCGAGCTCTGGTGAGCAAAGCGAAGATGCATCACGGGCAAGCTCACCTCCCGATGGGCCAGAGCTTGATGTTGTCAAGCCAAGTTTGGCTCGACCTACACCATCTCCGATGAGCCAGAGATCTGTTTCCGGTAGCAATATGCTAGTACAGAAGGAGCTTGATGATCTAAAGACAAAGCTGAAGATTATGGAGAAAAAAAGAGCGGAAGACCGCGAGAAGCTAAAGATGGTTGAGACGTACCGGACAGAGAGAGACAAGTTCGAGACTATCATACAGAAGCTTAGGGAAAAATATCAACCTCAGCAACAGGAAATTACTACATTGAGAAAACAGCTCAAGGAAGCCGAATATAGGGTTGAAGAAGTCGAGAGACTTCAAGCTGAACATGAATCCATTCTTGAGATGGCAGCATTGGATCGAGAGATGGCGGAAGAAGTTGCTGAATCAATCAAAGCTGAGTATGAAGCTTTGAAGATTCGGACGGAGGAATTGGAGCTTGAGGTAGAAGTCTTGAAGGAGGAGAATGATCAGCTTGGACAGGTCATGAGCCCTGAAGAGAAATCGAGTCAGGGATGGCTGCAAATGGAACGAACAAATGAGCGTCTACGTGAAGCTTTGATCCGCCTTCGTGATATGACACAACAACAGGAAGCTGACCTAAAAGATCAAATCAAGGATCTGGAGGAAGAACTCAAGGACTATAACAACCTCAAGGCTCAGTATGAGTCTACCAAGGAGAAGTTGCTTGCGTCAGAAGCGAATATGGAGGATCTCAAACAGCAGGTGGAGGCTTTGGGGGCCGAGGAAATGATTGAAGAGCTCACCGAGAAAAATATGCAGTACCAGGAGGAAGTGAACGAACTGAAGGCAATAATAGAAGACCTCGAGAGTTTAAAGGAACTGAATGATGAGCTTGAGATCAATCACATTGAATCTGAGAAACAGCTCCAAGAAGAGATTGATTTCCGGGAGGGTATTTATCATGAACAAAACCGAAAGATCTCACAACAAGATGCCGTCATTGAAGATCTTGAATATACCCTTTCGAAGTTCCGCGAGCTGGTCTCGACCCTGCAGAATGACCTAGAAGACATGCGAGCCTCGCAGCAAATCACAGAGACTGAGGCTACGGATCTAACCGTACGTTCAAGAGCAATGATGGATCTGAACATGAAGCTCCAAGCTTCAGCTGCAAAAGCTCAGGTCAAGTCTATGGACTTAGAGCTAGGTCGAATGGAGGCAGAAGAGTCTGCCAGCCACCTGTCTATTGTTAAGCTTTATCTGCCTGACTATTACGAAAGCGAACGGAATCCAATTCTTGCACTCCTCCGGTTTAAGCGTGTGGGGTTCAAAGCCTCAGTAATGGGTAACGCCGTAAGGGAACGTCTGGCCGACCCGTCAATCCGCTTCCCTGAGCGAGATGGATTTCTGGCTTACGAGGTACTCGAGAAACTTACCTGGATATCACTGGTCTGTGATAGATTTATCACTTTTATGGATGGTTGTTCAAGCGAACAATTTTCTTCCTTTGAAGGAGCTCTATACGAGCTTGAACCAGTTGAGCGCATCTTGAACTTTTGGATTGAGAGCCTGAAAAAGGGGGAGCTGAATGAGAAGACTTGCGCAGATGAACTCCAGCGATCAACTGCTCTTTTGTCACATCTAGCGGAGACACTAATACCGCAACACGTCGAAGGTACTGGAAATGAGATGTATATGCTATCTGTTTTGACGCAGACTTATCTGGATAGCACAGCATCCGCTTTTGCTCAATTGAAGTCTAAAATTCAATCCAAAATACCCCCTTCGCCGGAAGACGAGGAAAGCCAACATCTCTACAAGAAAATTGACACAGTCGTTCAGCAGGCAAGAGGAATAAAAGTTGCATCAAGCAAAGTCACTCGGTCTTTAGAAGAACTGAGAACAAGGTCACTAGCTCTTGCGGAGGAATGCAAAGAGGCATTTGAGTCAACCGAACAAGCCGCTAAGGAACTGTCAGAAATGGCTCAGCTCATCGGAAATAGTTTCCTACAACTTGTCGATGATGATGATCGCACTGAACCATTCACGTACCCAGAGGTGTTGACTAGTATGTCTGATGCAATTGCTTCTATCCCTAAGGGATCACTTGGAGACAGTGGTTCAAACGACGCCCTTGCACTTATCGCCAATAAACTTCGTCTTTTGACAGGTTATGTTGATGAGGCATCGAATCTTTCCTCCGACTTGTCTCAGACAGTTGAGTTTGATCGACGACAATCTCCATGGATTGCTCGCTCAAAGATGCTTAAGGCAAGCCAGGAAACTTCACCGGATGCTGAAGAAGAGATCAGACGCTTAAGGAATGAACTGAGTGAGGCGTCAAATGCTCTCGGAGCGAAAGACAGAGTCTTTGAGGAGCAGTCTATCAAGATCGAACTCCTTGAAGCACGTATGCGTGAGGCTAGTAAAAAGGCAGCTGTCGTCAAAGACTTGGAAGCTGAGATAGGGAATCTACACTCCAAAGAGAATGAGCTTGTTGCTCTAGTTGAACGACAATCTCAAAATATGCAGGCAATCGAAAGGGAGCGGGATGAGTACAGAAGCCGCTTCGAAAAACTGAAACGAGCTTCCGATTCTGAGGGAAGCAGCGGCGTAGGAGGGGTTGTAAACGCTGCGGCTTCATTATCAGTCATGAAAGAAAACGAGGCCTTACGGGCGGAAGTCACCGGCCTTCAATCCTCTATTCGTTATATTCGGGATGACAACAAGCGAGCCCGCCTTCTTGACCCGTATTCTGTACAGAGAAGCAACCATATGCGCTCTTGGCTTGACGTTCCTTTGGTTCGTTCCAAGCCTTCGGTTAATGAGCAAGACCCCGATCATCGACACAAGCAGGCTGCCGAATGCCGCGACATCCTTGGTCACTTACTGAAGTTAACTAAGGAATCAAAACTCGTGGATCTCAAGGCAAGTAGCACTTCAGATCCTGCAAACCGTCTTGCATGGTGCCCTGTCAAATCAACTCCGAAATATCATGCCATGAAGCAACGTGAACATTATGAGCAGTGGAGCCAATGGAAAGACGAAGTTGTTAAAGAGAGGAAGATGAAGAAGCTGAATGCCGGCTCTGGTACCACGAGGCGAGTCCTGCCAACAAGCAACCCAAGTGCCCCAGCTAGTTTTCCTGTGGACCATGCGGCCTTTCCCGATATTTCTCGGAAAGGGCTGGCACCTGACAGAGACGAGGGCGTAATGGGCAAGACATGGAAGATTCTCGGCCTCCAGCCGGATACTGGCGATATCCCAAGGGTGTCAAATGAGCCCCAGATACTTGATGACTAGATTCGCGAGGACTAAAGGTTACAAGTGCTAATCCTTTCATTTTATTTCCTTCAATGTTTTTGTTACTTTTCTATTTCAGTACCCTGCTATATACCCGAGATATCTGCATATCAAAGATCAAGGACTTGTTGTATATTTCTTCGTATCTAATTATATTTCGCCCTAATATACTTTCCCCCAACAAGTATTGCACGGATTTGGTCATTTTCAGGAATGTAAATCACCCTTTCTTATCTACTGCCTAGAACCGGCTATGGACCCGTACACACTGCTTAATCTCTCCTCAATCCGTGAATCAAAAGAACAGGCCATGTAGATTCAACTCCGAACACAAAACTTTCGCCAGATGAATGACCAATCAGATGTTGCGGCTCTTCGCCCTGCGCGCAAGGTTCCGGAAATCTTATCAGATCTACGTTATCAGATCGAGAACCAGCCTCGACGGTTACCACAAAGAATCGTCGAGTTTCACGAATTTACCTCTCGAAGGGCGTGTTAGCAAGAGTCATAAAGATTACCGAGGCATTTACTCTTACAAATCACTCACAATGGTAGAACTGACACACCTCTTGATATTCAGAGCCCCTGTTCGAAAAGTAATAAAAGGGTGCTCTGCTGAACTTCGGTGAAAAGTAAAGGGGGCAGCCAAATTGACTGTCCTGCATCAATCAAACCAGCCATTGTTGAATCAAGATACATTCTGTGGCAATAATGAGCCAGCCAAAGGTCATCAATCTCAAGAGTGACACTCAGTCTCTGCCAACTGAGCAGATGAAGCAGTTCATGATAAAAGCGGAACTAGGAGACGAACAACACAATGGAGACCCGACTACCGCAGATCTATGTAAACGGGTAGCAAAGCTTCTTGGAAAGGAGGATGCAGTGTTTCTCCCATCAGGCACCATGTGTAACCAAATTGCAATCAACGTCCACTGCCGACCAGGAGATGAAATCGTCTGTGACCGAACAAGCCATATTGTCAACTACGAGACAGGTGGCCCAGCTGCGAACTCGGGAGTGATGATTCATGCCATCGACGGAGAGCGCGGAATCTTTACAGCGAAGCAACTTAAGAATGCTATCAGAGCGCCTTCACGATATTTCCCTGAAAGTAGACTGCTTTGTGTTGAACAGACGGCAAACCTTGGCGGCGGAGCGATATGGCCTCTATCCACACTCCAGGACGTTGCTGCAATTGCCAAAGAAGCAGGGATGGCAACACATATGGATGGTGCCCGCCTCTTCAATGCTGTTGCTGCTACTGGCATTTCGGCAGCTGTGTATGCTGAATCTTTCGACTCGGTCTGGATTGATCTAAGCAAAGGGCTTGGGTGTCCGATAGGGGCTGTTCTATGTGGATCTGCGGACTTCATTCGAAAAGCGTGGCGGTTAAAGCAGAGGTTTGGAGGAGCAATGAGGCAATCTGGTATCATCGCGGCAGCGGGGATCTATGCTCTCGACCATAATATTAAACGTCTTTCCGAGGACCACGCGAATGCCAGGTTGTTGGCCAAATTATTGTCCGCTATTCCCAACATCAGCATCAAGCTGCACGAAGTGGAAACCAACCTGGTTTATTTCGAGGTGAATGATCGGGAGGGACGCCCAGCAGCTGCGGATTTTGTGGAAAAATTGCAATCTCTGGGTGTTAAAGGGGGAGCAATGGGTCCGTCGACAGTTCGGTTTGCAACCTATTTGAACGTCAATGAGGATGATATTAGAGCAGCTATTCCTGCTATTAAAAAAGCCATGACTTCGATAACTGAACAATAGATATCTGTAGAGTGATGAGGAATGTTTGATAACTTTGAAAATAGTTATGCCCTATTAGTTTAACTATTAACTAAATTTATCGAGCAATCAGAGCATCTTGCCGGATACTCCATGGGGTATAATTTTCCTCCTAGATTCCACTGCTCATTACAACATGTGTGCCACCCCGTTTTCCCCGCCATATCAACAATTCATGCGCCTCCCGATAATTCCCACAAAGCGAGGGGATAGAAGCTGGGAATATATATAATAATAAAATTAAACAACAATCAGGAGGGGAATCGAGTGCTAAAAATAAGAACAATAGGAGGTTTTAGCAGGCAAGGTAAACAACGCCTCCTACACCCAAAAGTGTAGATCGAGAGGAAGAGAAAAATAAGGTTGTTGGAAAGAGAAAGGAAATCCCTCAGTATGCCACTCCGATATCATTTGGGCCAAGGGGTATTTCGTAGTACGGGCCTTTATCGGTGAGTGTTTGGGATTGACGCTTTTCGTTAGGTGTAGAACAGGCTTCCTGGGATGAAGTTTTGTAGCCCATTGCTATATCACAGATTTCATAGTCCTTCTCTGTTAATGCGTGGAAGCTGAGAGGTGACTGTGTGGTAGTTCCCATCATCACCGAGCTCGAGAGAGAAGGATTCCGTGATGAGTATCCTGCGGTGGATGCATTGGCCAATGAGACCATCGTCGAACCACTGAGTGTACGTGCTCTTGCATGCGAGGTGTCGAAACGGAAGCTTGAGGGTGGGCGACCTTGGTGGGACTTGGCAGCAAACCATTCTGCAATGGTACGAGAACGAGTAGGGTAGTGTGTTGGTATCGGTGCACTTGAGCTGTTATGGCCTTTACTTGGGCTGACAGAAGATGGAGTTATTTCTGATTCTGTCTGCTTCAGGTCGGTAAGGTCTTCAAGTGATGAGAGCGGGTAACCGTTCAACGTTTCACTGCTCCTTCGAGGGGGAGATATGGCATTCTGTATCTCCTGCAACTTTTCTGGGTCTGGTATCGTATGACGGCGGTCGTGAACTTCGATGAATAGTGAATTTCTAGCGGAAGACGTGCCTATTGGTTTACGAGCAACTGCGAATGGAGATGAAGTTGACTCTGAGCGTCGGCGGTCATCTTTCTGATCTGGCACACAAACAGCCTTTGGCGGTGGGGCTATGATTGGGTCTGTGGTTGAGTCTGTAGTTGTGCCCGTAGACCGAGAGCTATCCTGGCCAAAGCCTTCTAGATCGAAGTCATCAAGACCAAAAGTGTCAAATGCCGGCAGATCTGGCAATTGGTTCCCTTCAACATAGATGCTCAATTCTAGAGGCCGAAAGGATCGACGGCGGCGTCTAGGAGTAGGCGTGCTTCCAGCAGTGAGATGACGAAAGTCTGTCGGACCACTGATCTTTAATTTGCGGACGGGGGTGTTTTTTGATCTTTTCTTGTGCTTGACTAAGAGGCTTGCTCTGTTAGACGCTCTAGAAGCTCGACTTCTGGTTTCGGTAACTAGATTTGGCAGCAATGATGCCCGTGAATCGGCACGACGAGGACTACTGGGGATGTCGTCGTAAAGAACCAGCTTCATAGGAGCAACCGGCAGGGGCTGCTCATCGCATACTGCGATGACATCTTCTTGAGCGCCTATAGTTGATATAGTTAGCTCGGCCTTCCCATTGACTCCGTGCACTGCAGCCTCGATCCTTCCAGCATGCACAACCCGACCTGCCACTTTGTAATTAGTTACTTACTTGTGTCGTTGTGCACTGGAGAGAGGGAGCCTGCTCAACGACCTCTGACCAGATGCACCATGAGCAAGAGGGAAGCCAGGCCGTGAACATTGAGCTTGCTCACTCCAGCAGCATCATCCTCCTATGCTTGAGATCCTGTGCCCATGGCAGTTGGTTCTCCTGGAACTTTTTTCAGAGCGACGGTGGACAAGCCGGCAAAAGAGCGAAGCAAGCTTCTCTAAAAAGAGAATTTAGACATAATTCCGGGCGCGAAGCTTTCCTCATATATGAGAAACGCACCCTGGGGAGGACGGGCTCCCAGTCGCCAGTCTGTGGGACCTCCCTTCATATCAGAGAGGGGCAGGCGCTGGCGCCTTGCATGAGCGTTGGCCAATGGACAGGCGGTGTATGCAGGCGACATGGCTCCGTCACACTTTTAGGGTGGAAATTCGCGATGTTTGAGAGCAGGCGGGATGACAGTGCGTATGCAAACATGGTGTGGTGTATAGTGTTGTAACTATAACACCGGCAGCGCCAAGGGGTTAAGGATGTCGGGCATTTGGGCTTGGAATCTGCTCCCGTTCGCTGAAATGAGAGGGGAAGCGAGCAGGGGACATCCCGGCCGGTGAGGCAGTGTCCAATCGACGGCAGGTTGAAGCCATCCTCTGCGGTGTCAGATCTGCACAGCAGTCCGATCTTAGCTCGGATGGGGAGCGACAGGCTGGAGAAAGCTGTTGGAAGGTCGTGAACCGAGAAGCGAACGGTGAGTAGCCGAAAAAGAAAGAAACGAAGAGAAGAGAGAAGAGAAAAAAAAGAAAGCATAAGGACGCTTGCAACAGGAGGAACGGGTGACTTTCCTGAGATTAAAAAGAAACAACATATACAGATATACAGGAGATGCCAGGGGAGGGGGGGAGGTAAATCCAGGGGAAAAAACACGCAATAACTCCGCAGATTCGAAATTTGCTTCTCCAAGAAATCAATTTACTATGCGCCAAATGTGTAACGGGAGGCTAACCATCTAGTTATCTGGTCGCACCAGAGGTGTTCCAGGCATCATGTTCATCGTCAAAGACACCGCTGTACCCCTCTGGTCCCGGCCTGGATCCGTCATGTTGGAAGCCGCTGGTGTGATCATGCGTGTCGTGATCGGTATTATAATTAGAATAGTCAAGGGCTTTGCTTTGCTCTGGTTGGAGCTGCGATGCTTTGCTAGTGTGGTGTGTAGTGTTCCTGGTGCCTTGATGTTAGTGGCAACATATTTCTCCAATTCAAGGGATCTCTCTCTTTCGCTCTCGCTCTCTCTCTTTTTTTTTTTCTTTTGCCTCTGAAGAAACTCACATGGATTGCTGTTCCTGTGCATAACCTCGTGTAACGGTATCACGAGGAAGCTGATCATTTACTCCCTGAGTTGCGGTATCGTCTGCATCATCGACCAAGTCTGCAAGCTGGCGGGAAGAGCTGCTCAATTGGCTCATCCGGCTTGTCCCTCTGGTCAGAGCGGCCGGCTGCTTGCCCTTGTCTGCCTTGATGTTACTATATGCTGAGCCGGACTGCCCTTCTGCAGAACGCTGACGTCTGCTTTGGCGGTTGCCAGATCGTCTTATCTGATTTCCTTCACTCGATCCTTGTCGGCTCGAGTACATGGATGCACGAGAGTGCCACACCTGTTCTCTGTATACTTCGTTTGTTGTTATGACGGGGTACTGTATCACAGTTAGCACAGCCGAGCCTGAAGCCTTGATACCAAGCATGGCTACATACATTCCAGTCGCCAAATTCTAGTTTACGCGCATTCTCAAAGCAGATTTCATCATCCTCATTGAGAGTAGGCTCCTCGATATCATACGTTCGCTGGCCTTCATCCCTTATACGGCTCGAACTGGCATGGGACGTCCTCCGGGATGACGATTCAGGTCCCAATAGTGGTGTGCGGCTATTCGCCTCTTTAGGCTTGGGGATCCAATACTTTGCCTTTCCTCCTCTTTCGTATCGCATGCCGTCCATCACGCGAGCCATCCGTGATCGGGATTCCTCGTGGGCAATGACGTTCGTTTCTGAATCGAAAAATCGATACTGGTACTTTTCACCCCGGAAAGTTTCCTTGGTATCCTCAATGAGATCCTTTACTCCGAATGCATCGCGAATCGCGTATTTTACCGGCATTCGAGCCGAGGAGATTGACGCATTTGCGTAGTCATGCCACGAGAATGCATACCAGTGCATAAGTGCAAAGATTGGCATCTCGCAGCAAATCAATAAATCCTGAATTGCAGCTGCCATGTTGTTCGGGGAGTAGCCTTCGGGTCCAGAAGGAATTGCTCCTAGAAACTGAAGGATAGAAAGAAAGAACCCTTGCCAATAGGACGCGAATATGATGAGTTTGACACTCAGGAATTTCGGGACTGGCCTGTAAGGCTTGAGATCGTCGTTCATAATGATCCAAAACAACGCCAGCGAATATAAACTGATTGTGACGCTGAGATTGTAGATAATCCCAACCCACAGGTATCCGGAGGAGAGGCCAATGTAGCCCTCCTGGAAGGTTCCAGTTGCTTTAAGAATGATGGTAACCAATGCAAGAATCGGTTTTAGCCACGCGTACTGTAGAATCCCTCTCTTCACTGCGAGAAAGGTATACGGATCGGATATGTCTATCTTTGAGAGACATTTATTAAGAGGCCAGGTGTGTTGTATCGGAGGACGGCCATGGGTCATAATTATCAGTGACCTCTCTCCTCCGAGAAAGTTGATCAGGAGCTGGAAAAAGGTGTAGATGGTAAATGCCTAGTGATAATCCTGAATCAGCCATATATTCCCACCGTGACATGGAGAGGCACCTCGCTTACTTCATAGATATCTCGAATAGGTGCAACCCACGCTGCTGCTTTCAACGAAACTATGCTTGTCCAAGATGATATCGCAAATATAGGTACCCTAACGGGGTGTCAGCAAGAGATTCAAGCTCCCGACTGGCCGGTCTTTTTCACTGACATCAAGAGTATTCTGACGACATATCGTTGGAGGAGAGGTTTCCGGTAGTTTTTACTATGGCTCTTTCAGTAACCGAATCAATAGCAGGCATGGGAGTATATTGGCAGAGCTCACGTCTGTAACCAGATGGACCTGATATATTTTGATACATGTCAGTTACTTGCGGCCTAAGTAGGCAGACAGGAAAGGGCAGAACGTACAGTAGCGAGATGAGAGAGGCCATCAGCGAGGCCACCCCGGCCACGATAATAGCTGCCTTAGCCAGGCTGGAGCCTGTGCCTCCAGTATTCGAGTTGAAGAGCATCATGCTGCCTCTTGCTGCTCTGCGACTGCGGTGGTGCCGGTCAAGATACCATCCTCGTTCACATCCGCGAGAGGTCGCCTTTGGCCATCTGAGACCAGCCAATGTCGAATAACACAACAAACCGGCCCTCGTGCAGTAAACCTGGGCCTTCTGCAGTTACTGCTCGGCACCCGTCTCTGTTGCTAGGATGTCAGGCCCGCGAAGGCAGCAAGATAAACAAGAGAAACGATGCTGCTCGTGGACAAGCAAAGCTTCATCCCTGGCAAGCTTCTAGATCGTTTGTTTGGCTAAAAAAAATAAAAATAAAAAATAAAAATTAGCTAAGGAAAAACGCGTGACGTCGCGGAGCCCCTTCTTCCTCGCTCAACTTTGTTATCGACCTGCACCGTGAGACTGCTGGCTGGGGAGCAAACATCGACGGCACCACACAGGCGTGATACACTCTTGGAATGGCTGTGAGGACAAGCTGATGGACTGAATATGCGATGGTGCTGCTTTGGAGCAAGCTGTCCCTGTCTTTCAACCTGTGTCGGCGATGCGACTGAGCCGTTCGAGATGCATATGACCAATGTCCTACTCACCGCTGCACCCGATTGCGGACGGCAAGCTGACCCCAGAGTCGCTTACGCCGGTCCCTCGATTCAACTGGTGCGTTGATCTCCTGCACGAGTGGCTGGCTTGTTGCTGATAATCGTGGATACAGGGTCTTCCTCATTGAGCTGATTGTTAGCGGAGTTCTGTACGTTTTGATGACCTCCACAAAAGAGGATGGATACCGGGATTTTCTGACCATGGACCGTTGATGTGATAGCACTCTCTTCTTCCTCTTTTATTTCAACCGGCTGTTTGCGACCCTCGTATCCTATGCCATTCGCGCCTATACCTGGCATTACTACCGGGTCTACATAGACATACATGCGCTCCAAATATCGTTGCTAGCAGGCCGAATATTTTTCAAAGGGATACGATATCATGGCGAAAATGAGACCATTCACGTCCAAACTGGCTATCTTACCTGGAGGTTCTGGTCTAGGCCAGAGCTGCCGGTGGATACATGCCATGTGAAGAGCAAGCCCAAGCCTCCGGAATGCGAGGCAGCAGGGGGCGCAAGCGGCGAGGACGAAAACGGAGGTAACCATGCAGCAAATGGAAAAGAGACACCCGCTAGAATCGAAATCACTCTCAATGGTCTAGAATGGTTTGTGTATAACCGAAGTCCTGCCTATGATTCGATTCTCGCTGGGTTTGGATTGGTGCCGCCTCCTGACGGGGCAAGCGCCTCGTCGGTAGCTGAAAATGGAGAGAATGTGCAACATGAGGACTCAAGTCCCAAGGAAGAGAATGTCGACGAGGTGGCCGCTTCAAGCCCTTCCGACCCCTTAACTCCCTCTTCTAGAAAAGAAATAAATTCACAAAAGCGGAGGACTTCATCAAGCACCAGAAACTCTTCTATACCTCAGCACAGGGAGAATTCCACTGGGCCTCGCATCTTTTCGTTTTTCCCAATATCCATGAATTGTTACAAGGGCGCATTGGCTTTGGGGAACGAGAACACAAAAACCATACTCACCTTGACGTTTGACAAGGCCGTCGGAAAAATAGATGCTGAAAGCTCTGGCCCTCTCGATATTTACAAACAAATATTTGAATATGACCTCTCCCACCCTGTCATACATATGAAACCTAATCCGGACTACAGACAATCACAATTGGCCGCAGTGCATGAAATGGAAACCCCAGAAGAAGAGGAGTCTAGAAACCGCGGATACGTGCACAGCTTACATAGACGGTATCGTGATCATAGGCACCGAGTGTGGGCCAGTGTTCGCGATTTGATCCCCTACTTTCAACGATCTGTAGAATCATTCCATCCCAGACATGATGAAAGAGACAGACCTGTTTCTAGAGCGGTCCATCAAGATGGCTGGCTGGGCCTAACACGCTATCTTGACGAGGAAGAGCAAGATGATTATGAAGGATGGAACTCAATAGAGTATGGTCGTTTCTCAACGCTACTAGACTCTCCTAGTATGTATTTTCGGTATTATTGGGACATTGGGGGCCCTGTGGCAATATCGAGTGCAAAACCCGATCCCCCGGATAGGCTGACTCCCCATAACATCAACGGTGCAGAGGCCCCTGAGTGGGGAATGGACCTAACCATACGTGGCGGTCTGCTTAACTACGGGCCATGGGCAGACCGTGAACGGATCAATCTCCAAAGTGTATTTGTGCCAAATTCATACCGGGATTCACACGTTACGCCTATATTAAAGCCTGGAGAAACAAGACAGAGCACAGCTTTCGTTTTGAATATCCTCATTGAAGAAACTACAATACTCCGCATACCCACAAGAGAGGCCTCGAAGGATTGGCAATGGAGAGGCCGGGCAGACCGTTCACGAGGTGCTTCTCGAATGAAGAAAAAGGACAAGGACCGCTCTCGAGGGAATGAAGCCGATAACCCAGGAACTCAAGGGCCAGATATTCGACCTTTTGGCTGGCTATCTCTCAGAGCAGGGCCCGGGTCAACTATCGTGTATTCAATGGCAATGTTTGCGAGTAGACATGGGTATTGCAACAAAGTTGACATTGACTTGCGCCAAACCAAAATGACCACCAGCGTGAATCATGGTATGTTGTGGCAAAGTGATCGTCAGCTTATCTCCTGTGATCTCTCAAATCCTCTTCGGTGGAATAGCCTGCACAACTGGTCCGTTGACGTAGAGAGTACCAATATGGAACTGTTCTTACTATGGGACCACCTAATATTACTTACCGACCTCATCTCGGACTGGACATTGGGACCTTTCCAGGAATATTATACCTTCGTTCCGATCAAATATCAGCTTTCCTTTGCCTTTCTTGATTTCAAACTCATGGTAAACGTGAATGATTTGAATATTATAAACAATCCCTCCGACTTTGATGATAATTCGTTCTTGATCATCGAAGGAGAAATATTAACTGCTCGCGTGGAGATCCCAGTTATTCATCACAGAGCTAGCCGTAATATCGCTACATTCGATATTCAAGGCTCAAATGGCGATTTAAAACTCTCTACGCCCCTATGGAATACCCAGCGTACGTTTTTGGACGATCGACCTGTCGGCGGGTTGGACACCCTAAAAATTGATGGAAGTTATACATGGCACAGTATAACTTCACCAAAGGTGACAGATGTTGCAATTATTAACTTATCTGGTACTGCACCATATCTGTACCTTTACGGATTTATCCTGAAGCAATTCCTTGATGTCAATGAAAACTACTTTGGTAGAACGATTCATTTCAAGACATTCGATGAACATAGAGCTGCAGCCAATTCGACAGCGACCCAGGGTATTTATGGCTCCAACCCTGCGCCACATACCAATGGGCTTGATGTTATTCTTCACATTGCAGCCGAGGATATCAAAGTTCTCCTTCCCACTGGTCTATACGACCGACATGAGAGCCTTGCATTAAAAGCAACAAGTCTAGACTTGGATGTAAGATTCACAAACTATTACATGGATTTCCACTGCTCGCTATCTCCCCTAGAAGTTTCTGTTCTGTCGGAGAAGCCAGGCGCCTCAGTTGTCCGGTCTGGACCCCAGCTCTATATAAATGGGCTTGGTATTTTTGGTCATAGACTTTTTGGACTACCGCCAACTGAGCCTACATATGCCTGCAACTGGGATTTTCAAGTGGGATCTATCGTGGGAGAATGTTCTCCTTCATTCATAAAATCTGCTAAATCGGCGTTTGAATCTCTAGCTTTCTCATTCGACGATGATGAGAATGCCTTGCCTCCCATACAAACCGGTGTTTATGATGTTACTTTCCTGCGCGCAAATGTGAAATCTATCAAAGTGTGGATCTTAGCAGAAAAGTCTGCATTTCTTTTCAGTACCGGGACAATTGATGTGGAGTTTAATGACAGATGTGGCTTGAAAATGTCATTATTCGTCGATGTTACTGTTCCCGACATTGTTCTCGCAGTTGTCGATCGGACGTCAGTGACCCCGGGAAGTGCATCTCAATCACCAGCTAAAACTTATGCCTGCTTCCGTACTGCGGTTAAGCTTAGCACATTGGGGAAAAGAGAAGACTTCGATTATTATCGCTCTCTGCAACAAAATCATATCAGGAGGCATGACTCGAGGACCCACCGTACTCCATGGCTTGTGTTTAACGAACTTGAATTGGCCCCTGGAGAGAATTTACATCCCTCTTTTATTCCTCCCACAATGCCTGTTCCGTCGATGCCCGAACCTATTCAATCTCCAGCAGACTCTAAAGCTAGCCAGGCACCACATCACTCCCCTCTGAACGACGTTCCTGATGCGACAACTATTCCACTAACTTCTAGTTTAAATCCTACCCCTGACCAATATGTTTCCCAAGGCCGCCGTGCTGGACATTGCTCTACAACATGGGCAATGCCAAAATTTTCATTTTACCATGTCCAACTTGATGAGACAAATGTTCCTCCAATACCATCCAATTCTGAAGTTTTTATCGGGCGGAATCAGGCGCTGAATGCTGGTTTTGGACGTTCTTATGCTGACGAGTTTTTGGCTGGCGCTCAAGCATGCATCAATTGCAGCATGGCACCAGGTTTGTCTGGATTCGCCTCCATAGAAGCAGTACGCGCCGTGGCCTGCTTGCTAGACTCACTGCAGCCCCGAAAGCCCCTGGAGATCCTGGATGCATTTCAAGCGAAGGTGACCAGTGCTGCACTTGCAGCGCAAAAGTCTGCTATTAAGAGAATAAAAAAGATATTTTCTTTAAATATTGAGCTTCCTTCGTGCCGTGTACGATTTTTCAACACCCTGTTAAAGTCTGGCCGGCCCACCGGCCCTTTCAGGGACCAGTTCCACCTCGATATATCGTATATTCGGGCTCTAATTCGCGAAAAGGTTTCCTCTTTAGATGCTGCAGACTTTGCGAAGCCCAAGACTTCTCTCACGGCTCACATAGCAATGCGCTCACTGATGGCTACGGTTAGGGAAGAGAACGTGGAGACCCATTCAGATGTCAAATTATGCGTCTGCAAAGTATTCGACACAACTTTCTGGTTTTTCGGGAGCAAAGATATAAGGTCTCGTCTCCAAGTTCAGAATATCAACCTGATGTCATCAAATGAATCGGTTACGAGGATTGAGCCTGTGTTGAACCGAACAATGAAATTGGTGGAATCTCTATCAGCCACTTTCCAACGGATTTTTGAGGCCCATGAAGACCGACTTCTTTATCTTATCCATTACCTCACAAAGGCCGGCGTAGACATGCCAGAGCCGCACTTTATGACACTTTTATCCGACGCCTTGAGGGCCACAAAGCCACATCTAAGACTCGAAGACGCTTGGAAGATAATATCAAGGATTCGAAATATATACAAATCAATTACGCCCGAGCAACGGGGCCAACTTGAGAAAGAATGCCAAAAGTCTGATGTTTCCTACCCGGAGGATGCTAAAGATGCCATATTGTCGGTGTTTGAAACTTGGCGTGCCTGGGAATTAGCCCCTATCGAAAAAAATCTCATTATCAAGGCTCTTTGGGGTGAAGTCGCCACAACTGACGAAACAGCCGGCCCCTTGAAAGCGATTGATGCTGCTATATATCTTGGGTCAGTTCATCTTTCAATGGATCAAACCCCGCGGCATAATGGCTTCCGTGTGGAGAATATGTCCACTACAATCCGCTTTGGAGCTAAAAGTCAAGATGCGTGGTCTTCAGCAAAGGATGGACTGCTAGTTATACAGAATCACTGTTCTAATGCATATTTGCAACTGAACTGGGAATTATGCCAGCTCATTGAAAAGATCCTGGAGAGCAATGATAACCTCGGCTCCAAGGCAACGACTCTTCAAAGAAAGGAAACGAGCAAATCAAGATACGAGGTTAAACCTGAACATGAAATCCAATATGAAACTCATGTTCTTCTTATCGCAGACAAAGGTTCTGTCTGGATAGATGGAATCAACCTGGAGATTGAATTGGTAGGACGTGGGATGAAAGCATCCGCTATTCACTTGCCAAGTACAACACTGGGTAAAGAAACAATAAGCGCTATGTTAGCTTCTAAATTGTCCTCTGCTCGGGTTATCAGTCACTCGAGCCCTCTGATGGAATGGGAATTTCACAACCCAAACATATTCGTATCTCGTCAGTCGCAAAAACGCAACGCGCTATTGGAGCATGACTGGAAATGTGCTGCAACCTGTCGCCAGCTGAGATATGAATTGACTGAAAACCCCCTTGAGCTTATCCATGTGGCTGACCGCGTGGTTGAAGACGAAGTCAGGCAAATTCTCAAAATGGTTTCTTCCTTGTCAGACGTTAAATCAGAAGAAGGCCCTACTTCAGCATCATCTGGGGAGGAAATCCATTATTTTCATGTTGCGACATTCCTTGATGATTACCAAATCCGCATTTCCCTTCTTCCATCAGTTGCCTACACCATTGAAGGAGATGTAGCACGGTTATCTGTCACACCTCTTGGTCGTATGAAATTTGAGGTGGATTATGACATCAAGAATAGTATTCACAAAATCTATTCCAACAAAGATGGAAGCCTACGCACTTTATGTTCAACAGCAATACCACCAATCAATGGGAGGGTGCGATTGGATATGACCACTAACCCGATTATCGTAGATGCAGACACCACCGTTGAGGTTCTGTATCTAGACGTGAGTGCTGTGCAAAACCTCCTCGGTGCCCTTAATGGGCCCGAGATATCGCATTTCATTGATGACTTAAGCCATGATGGAAAGGCCTTGAAATCACACTTCGAGCAGGTATTAATGAACGGCAGAGCTACTCAACCAAAAGAGAAGGCCAAAAAGAAAGGACCCGTATATCAAGTACGGCTCACGTTAGCTGGAATCAATACTCATGCCTCTTCCCCTGGTTTACGAACCAGAGATCACACTGCAGATATGAACATTGAATTTAAGTCTGTTCAGGTGCATGTCGAAAATTCTCCCATTCAGGGAGTTCGCAACGCACGACCAGAATTCAATATTATCGTGGCCCAAATTAGCGTCAATGTTCAGAGGACAAGCATGCATGATAGCTTTTCCTATGGAAAAGTTGCCTTTGGTGCTCAATTTTCCGGATCTTTCAAGGATTTGCCAGATGGAAAAACCATGCAATTATTTCACCTGAAAAGCTCTGGACTTGAGATTGATATGTCTGCCGAAACGGCTTCGCTTGTACTTGACATCGTCGCTCATTTACAGGAAGGTATAAAGACAATTGACCTGTCTCAAGATATCGCACGCCTGAGAAAAAGCCGCAGGCTCTCATTCCTTAGAAGAAAACATAGAAAGATAACCCATACTGCCACTTCTCCCGCAGAACCTAGTGCCGGCGGCGATAACAGTCAAGGGACTCCCGATTTTCTGAATGCGACATACTCTGTTGAGCTTTCCAACATTCAAATTAGCTGGCTGGTTTTAGAAAATACTTCCCCTGGCAAAAACCGGAATCCCTCCATTCGTCATGACACCGGTGCGGAAGATCTCGTTTTCTCCATCCGTAAGGTTGAGCTTACGACGAAGGAGATCAATGCCGCCAGGCTGCGTATCCAGCAAATGCAGCTACAGATGGTACCAGTAACCTACGACAAAAAGAAACGTTCCCAAAACTCCGCCTTACTTCCAGAGGCAGTGTTCAATGTTTCATTTGTGTCTGTCAAGTCTAAGTGGAAGTTGGCATTGAACGCTGCTGGAAAAGCTCTTGATTTGCAGGCTACATCCGACTTTATCATTCCGGCTAGTCATCTGCAAAAGTCAATGGCATCTGCCGTTGAAAGAGTCCGTGAAGCTAAGTCATTATGGACAACAGAATTCCGTGAGAATCCTAAAGTTGGGAAAGAATCTCTCGGATTTAAGCAATTGGACTCTGTTTTCATCGATGCTAATTTTGATGGAGCAATTGTCACACTGCAAGAAAGGCGTGATGCTGGTGATAGTACTCCACGTCCCCCAAGCAATAGAAGCAGCATTGGTTCGACTGATTTCAGATACGGACAAGCCTGGACTGGAGACGCTGTGTCCAAAGCAACGCTCCGAGCCCCTGGTGTGGCTTTGAAAATCCGGTTCGAGGGCTCAGAAGCAGATACTCCAATCCTTGAAGCAGAGATGAAGGTTGAAGCCTCTTCTAACGTACTTCATCCAAGTGTGATGCCTCTACTTACACGGATTTCATCAAGTATACGAGATGTCGTTGGCAGAGAAGAAAAGAGGGATAGTCAAGTTACAAAAGCTGGTGCCGAAGAGCCATCTGCAGGAAAAGATGAAACAGACAAACCAGCTGTTGGAGGTGAAGAAACCGAAAAACCTCCTCAGGATAAGTCCATGGATCCAACCACAATCCTTGGTAGCTGCAAGTTGAGCATTGGGCTCTGGATCCGCAAACAAGAATTCACATTGAGTTGCCAGCCCATTGCACGAGTGGAAGCTTCAGCTGGCTTTGAAGATGTGAATATTACGGTCAACACGGTGCAGTCTGAGGAACAACGCCGTTTTTTTGCTGTGCTCATAGCCTTCAACAAGTTACGGGCATCAGTGAAACACGTCTACTCCAATGACCCTACGGCGAGCTTTAACGTGGATTCTATAGTTGTATCAATGATGAACAGCAAACACGTCAGTTCTAGCAGCGGTATTTCCGCCATTCTCAAGGTCAGCCCAACGAGACTATTCATGAATTCAAGACAGGCCCAGGACTTCCTTCTGTTCCGAGAAATTTGGAAGCCTCCCAGTGACCACTTCAAACGACCAGTACAAACCCAGGAACCATCTCCGGAAGTCCAGGCATATATGGTTCAGCGGTATCAGCAAATGGCAGCTACTGGGGCATTCCCATGGAACTCAACATTGGCAATAGACTCGCTGGACATACAACTCGACCTGGGCCAAACAATAGGCAAGGCAGAGTTTTCAATAAAGAACCTCTGGTTATCGTCAAAGAAGACTTCAGATTGGGAGCAAAACCTGTGCATTGGCTTTGAAGCCGTCTCGATCAAAAACGAAGGGCGACTGACCGGGTTTGTAGAGCTCTCGAAGTTCAGGGTACGCACATCTATTGAATGGCCTGGTGGTGTGATCTCAGCTGGCCACACTCCTCTCATCCAGGCGGCAGTTGGAATTGGCAAGCTACAGGCAGATGTCTCTTTTGAATACCTACCAGTTATCGTCGCCGACGTGACCTCATTCGAATTTTTCATGTATAATGTCCGAGAGGATGAAGGAAAGAGTAACGACCGTCTCGTTAGCATGCTTGAAGGAGACAAACTGCATGTTTTCTGTACTACTATTACGGCTTCGCAGGCACTAGGTCTATATCAGACATTCCAACGCTTGATAGGGGAAAAGCGCAAAGCGTTCCAAGAATCCCTAAAAGAGGTTGAAGATGCCTTGCACAGGACAAAGCTCTCGCTCGGGGTAGCTCCTCAAAAGCCAGTGACGAGACCGACGATCAAGGATGATAAAGATGCTATGAACCTACCAATTTCCCTCCAAACAACCGTCGTGGTCAAGCTGCATACTGTCACAGTCGGAGCATTCCCAAATACATTCCGTGACGCGCAGATTTTCCAAATAGAAGCACTTGGCGCTGAAGCACGCTTTTCAGTTGGGATTCAAGGCGGCAAGATACACACCGGCCTCGGCCTGACGCTGGGGGAGCTCCGAGTTGCTCTGTCTAGCGTTGGTGGCGGCTCAGTGCCAGCAGATGCAAATGACTTGACGGTGGACCAGATCGTGAGCCGTGCCACCAGTGCTCGAGGAGGAATCATCTTGAAGGTTCCCCGGGTGCTCTCCTTGATGGAAACTTGGCAACAAGCTACATCCAACCACATCGAGTATCGTTTCAGGAGCTCGTTCGAGGGCAAAGTCGATGTTGGCTGGAACTATTCTCGCATCGCCTTCATCAGAGGCATGTGGAGCACCCATTCCCGCGCTCTAGCAGCCCGGCTAGGCAAGCCACTCCCCCAAGCGGCCGTCCAGATTACAGGCGGACCGAAGGGCGAGGGCGAAGAGGGCGAATACAATGGGCAAGAGAAGATTACGGCTGTGGTAAATGTCCCTCAGTCACGGTATACATATACTGCGATCTCACCACCAACAATCGAGACACCGCAGCTTCGAGATATGGGAGAGGCCACGCCACCGCTGGAATGGATTGGACTGCAGCGTGATCGACTACCTAATCTTATGCATCAAATCATCATCGTCACGTTGATGGAGGTTGCAAAGGACGTGGAGGACGCATATTCGAATATTCTTGGTTCATCATGATGGCCTCCTCTGCTACCCATGGATATTGGGTGTTTCCGACGGGGACACCATTGGCTGCACTACCTGCATGCAGCAACTTGCAGCAACTTTCTTTTCTTTTGCTAGTGCTTTTCTTAACCTGCTTAAACCCCTTAACTCCGGCGTTCTCTGTATGGCGTGGCTATTGGTGTGGGAAAAAAAAAACAAAATTCAACCTGCTTGTGTAGAATAGATAGGTATAGATAGTTTTCGAGCCGGACGGCCTTTACGGTCTCCGATTAATAATGCTATTGTGTAATTGTAATTGTCCATGGAAACAGCCAGCATCCCCTTGTCTCTTCCGTCGGCCAGCCCAGTGCCTCAGCCATCAGTCCTCAGAGCACGCCGGCCGGAGCCATCACAGCCATCACAGCCATCACAGCCATCGCCAGCATCGCCGTCGTTGCTGCACCAGCAGTACCAGCAGTCATGCCATCTCATCTCGCCAAAAGAAGCGCCGCAGCCTGGTGGTCCGACCAGGCATGCTGACTAAGTACCGCGCAGGTACCTTTGCGCGCTGCGGCTGGCGCCAAGTGACTTCCGAGGTACTTCCAGGAGCGGCCTAGTGCGGGGCACCTGCTTACCTCAGCAGCGTCTCTTCCCCTTCTGGGTTACCGCCCTCGCCCGCTGGCAGAAACCGCACAAGCCCCGCCATTCTCTTTTCCGCGCGCGAGACGGAAAAAAATTCTCTTCTTCTTCTTCTTCCTCCTCCTCCTCCTCCTCTCTTCTTCACCAACTCCCGCCCTGGTGTCTTCGCTCATCACCACCACCCGTCGACTCTCACCTGTTCTGCGAGTCTCTTACCCCTCTACGTTGCTTGATCAGGTCGAGTTATTCTCGATCCTGATAAATATCAAGCCACAAAGCCACCCGCCGCTGACAGAAAAGACACCCCGCCTCGAAGGCATTTCTCTCCAAAACAACCGCCAAGATGGTCAAGTAAGTTATATCTAGACCTTCCCGTGGCCTGTGAGAGACGAGATTGTCTCGATAGAAGCATCGTCTTCTGTTCTTGTTGCCCTGTTATTTCTATTGGTTTTTTTTCTTTTTTTTGTATTTTTTTTTTTTTTTTTGTTCGATGTTTTGTGTAAAAAGGACACATTACTAATGCGATTTGGCATGGAACAGCTTCACCATCGAGGAGGTATGCAGCTCATCCCTGAAGACAGGAAGGAAGTAGAGGGTATCTCGAGACATGCCAGACTAACTTAACGCGCGTGTAGATCCGTCAATTGATGGACCGTCCTGCTAACATCCGTAACATGTGTGTTATTGCTCACGGTATGGATCCCGCCCTGCTGTGTTTGTGCTTTTTTGAACTTCAACTAACTCCTACACCACTGCAGTCGATCACGGAAAGTCTACTCTTACCGATTCTTTGGTCCAGCGTGCTGGTATCATTTCGGCCGCCAAAGCTGGAGAAGCTCGTTTCACAGATACCCGTCAGGACGAGCAAGACAGATGTATTACCATCAAGTCCACTGCCATCTCTCTTTACGCCAAGCTCGTTGATGAGGATGACCTTAAGGATATCCCCCAGAAGGTCGAGGGTAACGAGTTCTTGATTAACTTGATTGACTCTCCCGGTCACGTCGATTTCTCCTCCGAAGTCACTGCTGCCCTCCGTGTCACTGACGGTGCCCTCGTCGTCGTTGACTGTGTTTCTGGTGTCTGTGTCCAGACCGAGACCGTCTTGCGACAGGCTCTTTCCGAACGTATCAAGCCAGTCTGTATCATTAACAAGGTCGACCGTGCTCTTCTTGAGCTCCAGGTCTCCAAGGAAGATCTCTACCAATCTTTCTCCCGAACCGTCGAGTCCGTCAACGTCATCATCTCCACCTATCTTGACAAGGCCCTCGGTGATGTCCAGGTCTACCCAGAGAAGGGTACCGTTGCTTTCGGATCCGGTCTTCACGGATGGGCTTTCACTATCCGTCAGTTCGCTGTCAAATATGCCAAGAAATTCGGTGTTGACAGAAATAAGATGATGGACAGACTTTGGGTAAGCTCAATGCCATTTCTACCCAAATTGAGTGTATTCGTATATTAATATTGCTTCGTAGGGAGACAACTACTTCAACCCAAAGACCAAGAAGTGGACCAAGAACAGCGAATATGAGGGCAAGACACTCGAGCGTTCTTTCAACCAGTTCATTCTGGACCCCATCTTCAAGATCTTCAACGCCATCACTCACTCCAAGAAAGAGGAGATCGCCACCCTCGTTGAGAAGCTTGAGATTAAGCTTTCCTCTGAGGAGCGTGACCTTGAGGGCAAGCCATTGCTTAAGGTCATCATGAGAAAATTCCTGCCCGCTGCTGACGCTCTTCTTGAGATGATGGTCCTCAACCTCCCATCTCCCGTTACTGCCCAGAAGTACCGTGCCGAAACCTTGTACGAAGGTCCAACTGATGACGAGGCTTGCATTGGTGTCCGTGACTGCGACCCCAAGGGTCCTCTTATGCTTTACGTCTCTAAGATGGTGCCAACCTCCGATAAGGGACGTTTCTATGCTTTCGGTCGTGTCTTCTCTGGTACCGTCCGCTCCGGTCTTAAGGTCCGTATCCAGGGTCCTAACTACACTCCTGGAAAGAAGGATGATCTCTTCATCAAGGCTATCCAGCGTACCATTCTCATGATGGGTCGTTTCGTCGAGCCCATTGAGGATGTCCCAGCTGGTAACATTGTTGGTCTCGTTGGTGTCGACCAGTTCTTGCTCAAGTCTGGTACCCTCACCACCAGTGAAACCGCCCACAACTTGAAGGTCATGAAATTCTCCGTCTCTCCCGTCGTCCAGCGATCCGTCGAGGTCAAGAACGCCAACGATCTGCCCAAGCTTGTCGAAGGTCTCAAGCGTCTCTCCAAGTCTGACCCTTGTGTCTTGACCATGATTAACGAGTCTGGCGAGCACGTTGTTGCCGGTGCTGGTGAACTTCATTTGGAAATTTGCTTGAAGGATCTTGAGGAAGATCACGCTGGTGTTCCTCTCCGCATCTCTGACCCCGTCGTTGCCTACCGTGAGACCGTCGGCTCCGAGTCCAGCATGGTTGCCCTGTCCAAGTCTCAGAACAAGCACAACCGTCTCTACGTCACTGCTCAGCCATTGGGTGAGGAGGTTTCTCTCGCAATTGAGGCCGGAAAGATCTCTCCCCGTGACGATATCAAGACCCGTGCCCGTCTTCTCGCTGATGAATACGAGTGGGATGTCACTGATGCCCGTAAGATCTGGTGTTTCGGTCCAGACACCTCTGGTGCCAACGTCCTCGTTGACCAGACCAAGGCCGTCCAGTACCTCAACGAAATCAAGGATTCTTTCGTCTCTGGTTTCCAGTGGGCTACTCGTGAAGGTCCAGTTGCTGAAGAGCCAATGAGAGCTATTCGCTTCAACATCCAGGATGTCACCCTTCACCCCGATGCTATCCACCGTGGTGGCGGTCAGATCATTGGTACTGCCCGTCGTGTCTTGTTGGCTGCTACCCTCTTGGCTGACCCCGGTATCCTCGAACCCGTCTTCTTGGTCGAAATCCAAGTCCCAGAGCAGGCCATGGGTGGTATCTATGGTGTTCTCACTCGACGACGTGGTCACGTCTTCGCCGAAGAGCAGCGTCCCGGTACTCCTCTCTTCACCATCAAGGCTTACCTCCCTGTCAACGAGTCCTTCGGTTTCCCTGCCGATCTCCGCTCCGCCACCGGTGGTCAGGCTTTCCCCCAGTCCGTCTTCGACCATTGGCAGCTCCTCCCCGGTGGCTCTGCCCTCGACCCAACCACCAAGCCTGGTCAAATCGTCACCGAAATGCGAAAGCGCAAGGGTATCAAGGAGACCGTTCCAGACTACACCAACGTAAGTTATTGTTTCCATCCCCCGTGAATTAGCCATGAAAACAGTCACTAATCCACTGCCATAGTACTACGACAAATTGTAAACGCCTTTTCGCAAAGATATGTTTAGAGTGCTCTTGTGTATTTAAAACACAATGCCGAGAAGCCTATGTGACCTTTTTCAAAATACCACTTTAGCAATGATCCAAATTGGCCAGCATGTGCTCAAGAGCCTTTCATTCCCCGGCGGTATGCGTGAAACGAGAAAGAAAGGAACGGGTTTAAAAATAAAAGTTAAAAAGGACTGCCTCTCTCGCTCCACAACCTCTTCATACCCCCCGTTTGCGTCAGGCATTTCGATTAGTCTCCCATCACCCTTGAGATGACCAATATCCCAAAGTTGTGGCCGAGAGTTATGATTGATCCATGTGTCACTTTTCCTTTGTAATGTTAAATGTTTTGACCTTTTTTTTTTTTAAGTTGATGAACCCCTTTTGTGTATCTTAAATATTCATATCGCCCACACAGAGAATACATAGGAGTTGTCAGCGAACCTCGATCCCTGTAGACAATTTTCTCCTTGTAGACGTCAATTGTTTTAATGTCGTCGACTTTTACATGGCTTAGTCAAAACTTTAGATCACGTGGATAAACGCGCTAGATAGGACTTATTATGTAATCTATCAGAGCGCTCTTTTTTTTTGCGCGCGGCTGCTTTTTTGCATCGACAAGAAAATGTTGTATATATGAATGACAGGAAGCGAACTTGCAGCGGAACGACCAGACGACCGTCGATATCTTACACATTCCGCTCTAATCTGTCACTAATTTTGGAAGCACCAGGTTAACCCACCATTCAACTTTTCTTTCAGAGAAGATTAATATACGTTTGTAAGGCGAGAGCTTGAAGCCGGACTTTTGCACGAGATACCTTATTCCCCAGAATCAACCGACCAACTCATCCCCACCTCGTTACGTCGCACTTCGAACCTTTAAGCGCATAGCCGGACATTGAAGAGCGTATACGAGATACCATCAGACGCGAAAACAGATTTAATGCGCGTGCCTTAGAGGGGTGCAACGATGCAGTTCACTGAAGAGAAGGCCGCGGAGGTCAAATCTTGGGTTGTGAAGAAACTCGAAGATATGTATGTGTCACCGGGATGATATATCATAGTTTTGCATATTGGGGACTTCAAGTTCTGGGTTGTTCTCTGTGTAATAGCATTACTAGCGGCGGCTCTTGAAGAATTGCTTCTATTCACTCCTCGTTCCTTCTTTCTTTTTTATCCGTTTGAAATGAGGTCTCATTATATTATAAAGGTCGGAATTGCTAACCAGAGATTTGTATATCCTCAATAGCTCTGATGCAGATTCGGAAGTATTGGCCGACTATGTTCTTGCCTTGATTTCTACCGATGCTCCAGACGATGAGATAAGGAAAGCGTCAGTGGAGAATCTCGAAGATTTTTTGAAAGAGAGTAAGTGCCTTGTGTTCTCATTATATCCTCCTCGCTAGCTGTATAGTGGCGGCTAATGGGTTGGTTTGTTCCTAGACACCGTCCCCTTTGTCGATGAGATCTTTGAAAAGTTTCACCCCAAACCTGAGCAACGAGCCCTACCTGCCAACACCCAACAGCCCGAGATGTCTTCTCCCGTCCACAACCCTCCTTTCGTCCAACAACCCCCAAGTGCAGATATGATGGTGGAATTTGCGCAAGCTCAGCAAGGAGCCATGGGACAGCAGGGTTCAGCCCCGTTTGACAACAACGACCAACAGTTTAATACGCGAAAACGAACCTTTAATGATTCCCAGGGAGATGATCAGAGCCCTTACCAGAGAAATGCGGATAGACCGCATAAATCGGCTCGTGGTCGACGTGGCCGAGGAGGATGGGATAGCCGGCAATATCCAAGTCCGCATGGCCAAGGATATTCACCGAGCATGCCAGGTGGATTTCATGGTGGCCCTGGTACCCCACAGCCTGGTTTCCCGCCGTTCAATCCTAACGATCCCATAGCGCAAATGTTAAGCATGTCTGGAATTAACTTCCCTCAAATTCCAGGGATGCCACCAATGCCACCACTTCCGTCTCTTAATGGGCAACCCCAGCCTTCTGGTTCACCTCCTAATAAGATTTCCGAGAGATGCAAGAATTATGATAATATGGGATTCTGTGTTCTGGGGAGTACCTGTCCCTATCAACATGGACAGGCCCTATCAAAAGACGATGGTATGAGATAATGTTCATTGTACCTTTATACTGCGTTCAATTTTGGCTAACGTACTGACTATAGAGTACGATCCTACAAATTCCAATATCGTGTCCGGACATTCAGCAAATGGTGCCAATGGACATGGCTCTAGTGGGCGTGGAGATCGAGGCAGAGGACGAGGCCGTGGTCGTAACGACAGAGGAGGCCATGGCTCACAGCGCCGTAACCGGGCTGAATTTTCTCACGCCGGCCCTAACGATGACAGGAGAATCACAACGATTGTCGTTGAACAGATTCCAGAAGATAAATTCGACGAGGCTACTGTTCGGGAATTTTTTTCTGAATTTGGCGAGATTACAGAGGTTACCATGAAACCTTATAAACATCTGGCGCTTGTCAAATACGACTCCTACGATGCAGCGCATCGTGCATGGTCGAGCCCGAAGGTCATCTTTGACAACAGATTTGTAAAAGTCTACTGGTATAAACCCACAGAGTCGAGAGGCGACAGTAATGGCTTCAAGAAGACCTCCGCCGATGAACCATCATTCGACATGGAAGCATTTGAGAAACAGCAGGCAGAGGCTCAAAAAGCTCATGAAGAAAAGGTTAGGAAACGAAAAGAGACCGAAGAAGCAATTTTAGAGCACAAAAAGAAGACAGAAGAGCTGCTGAAACGCCACAAGGAGGAACAAGCCAAATTATTGCAGAAGCTAGAAGCCAAGGGCGCTGGCAAAGATACAGCTTCACCCGAATCAGGAAATTCAGCGAATGACAAAACTGCCTCACTTCGAGCCCAACTTGCATCTCTCGAGGCAGAAGCTAAGAGTATGGGTATAGATCCTAACGCTCAGCCAGAATCTCCATTTGGCCGTGGTCGTGGTCGAGGCTACGCCGGCTTCCGTGGAAGAGGTGGTTTCGCACCTCGAGGCCGCGGTTTCGACCCTTCGTTTCGTGCAGGATTCAGAGGCCGTGGAGCGTTCCGTGGCCGGGGAGGTGTGATTCGCCTAGATAACCGTCCTAAAAAGGTCGCAATCTCAGGTGTAGAATTTGATACCAACCGTGATGAGGCTCTGCGGCAATATCTTCTGGTAAGCACAGTACCTTTCACGAATTGTCGTTTGACCGAAATTTTCTAATCAATTAATGTACAGGGAATCGGAGAATATGAGAGCATTGATCCCAGCCCAGATCGCCCAGGAGCTTTGGTAGTCTCCTTCAAGGACCGTTATGTAGCTGAAAAGCTGGTCCATGGCCCCTCTGATATCCCATCCGTTGGTAAAGTTGAGTTTGCTTGGGTTGCCAATGCTCCGGCATCCTCAGCGCAGCCGCCTGGTGCCGCTGCATCCGCCCCGAAAACGAGTGAGGATGTCTCTATGACGGACAGCAATGCTACGGCTGCGCCTGTACCGGAAAAGGAGCCAGCTCATGAAGTTGACTATGACGTGGCCGAAATGGACGATTCTTGGGCTGATTGAATGGGACTCTAACGAAGTAATGGGCTTGAAATTTGGATTCTAGCAATTGTATTTCTACAAATAATCTTATCCCCTTCGCCCGGCCTCCTATGTGTTTTAATTATAAAGGTTGCCGGCCGGTTTCTTTTACTTCAGTTGTCATCGTGGAGCCTTTCAACACGCAGCGTACCTAGACTCTATCACCCTTGATCAAATGTATACGAGATGAACAAGCCAATGCCCCGCAGCCAGCCACCATGATGATAATATATATGAGCACAGCATCCTTCATCATGGAGAAACAAGTCTCACCAAATGTTTTCGCTATATGAAACAGTTTCCCCTTGATTCATTTGCACGAACAAACCCTTAGTTAAATCTCTTTGAACTGACAAACGACGCAGAGGAAACAAATTCCCTCTCTGACTGATTGACTTGTTAAAATGACCACCGGCGCTCGTCTTCAGGACAAGATAGCCATAATCACTGGCTCTTCCGACGGAATCGGTCGTGCAATCGCTCTTCGATACGCTGCCGAGGGAGCATACGTAGTATGTGCTGACTTGACGCCGGAATCAAGAGGTAGCCTTTGTTGATTCAATATACTTGCTGCTACCTATTTATATTAATACAGCCTTTAATTCACTACAGCCAAAACGAAGGACGGAGAAGAGTTGAAACCAACTCACGAAGTTCTCGACGGGAAGTATCCAGCTGCGTCTGGAATCTCACGCAGATCGATATTTATTAAGACAGATGTTTCTATTGATGCCGACGTGAAGGCACTGGTGAGTGCCTGTGTGAAGGAATATGGAAGGCTAGATATGTATGTTTCTTTACTCCCTTTAATTTCTCCTATTAGAATCTAACATGCATACAGTATGGTGAATAACGCTGGTATCGGGCCTAACTATAACCATGATCCAGCTCTAAGATTGCATGAAACTCCCGAGTACTCCTGGGATAGGATTATGGGGGTGAATGGAAAAGGTGTCTGGTTAGGGTGTAGTGAGTAGTTTCGACTATTTCCTCTCTGTGGCCCAATGGTCTTCATATGCTGATACGCATTAATTATCCCGCGTGAAGAATATGCAGCTGCTCAAATGCTTGCTCAGGAGCCGCCCTCCACGGGCGATAGGGGCTGGATTGTCAACACTGCATCAGTAATGGGCCTAGTTGGAATACAGTGTGGTAGTGCATACTCTGCTTCCAAAGGAGCTGTCGTCAACCTCACTAGAGCAGTAGCCCTGGAATATGGTGCTGATAGAATGTGAGAAGGCTAACCCCCCCAATTAACGTAGCTATTAATTGTCTGGCTAACTCAGGTAAATATACAGCCATGTGAATGCTATAGCGCCTGGTTTTGTGCAGACTCCATTGCTGGTAGACCTGACTCCCCACGATAGCGAAGATCCGAACGTACAAGGCATACGTGCTTCTTTTGCAAGCAAGCAGCCATTTGAATACCGGCTTGCTAGAGTGGAGGAGGTAGCCAGTGTTGCAGTGTTTCTTGCATCAGCAGAAGCCAGCTTTGTCACTGGCCATACCCTTCCTGTGGACGGAGGCTACCTAGCTCAGTAGAAGATAGAAAATTGGCTTTCTTGGACATGGGGTCCTTCCGGGAACTCTTAAATAGAAGCTGATTCAAAGTGACATATGATTTTTAGCCAACTGCTCCTTTCGCTCGTAGGATATATACATGTGTAACCTGCATGATAATCCCCTGTCGTCCCAAAAACATCATTTATATAACATTAGATGTTACCAATGAATGCATAACCATGGCCCGCTTTGGACATTGAGAAGAAGAGACTATGTTCAATATACGTACTAGAAAGATCATGTTAATATCATCTTAATTAGAGTAAGCACAGACGAGATGGAAGAGGCATAACTCACGCGAAATGATAGGTTCTCTCGGTCAGTGATATCAAGGAAATCAGCAGCGGGTTGCACTTGCCCTTCTTCAAACTTCCTATCTCTTCTCTTGTTCTCATATTTGTAATAGAACCTCAAGACGAAGATTGAAACTATTGTGATTGACATGGTTACCACGATAGTGAGTTTTGCTGGCACATACTCGGGGGCATCCTCGTCCTTGAAGGTGAGAGGGCCTAGTATGTTTCCCAGACAGAACGCCATCAAGATGATAGCGTTCATCGTCACTTTCTTTGTATGGCCCGCGTAGTTGGCAGTAATAATGGAATATGTAAGTGGGAGAAATGCGTTATTACAATGTGTTAGGTAGTTTCCAGCGAGTTTTGCCGCTGGATGGGTATTATCCAAGAACGCGAGCATGCAAGCGCCCAGCAAGCTGGGGATTAAGACGGCAACCATGAAAAGTGTGCGCTTGCCGAACCTAGCAGCGAGTAACGTGGCAGCAACAATCGCAATCATGTTAACAACTCCGCTAGGAATAGAAAGGAGCTGAGTTTGCTTTGGGGTATATCCGATGGCCTTGATAATGAGAGATTGAAATTGAGAAATGGCGGCATTAGGGACGAGACCTGCTGTGGTAATGAGAGTTAAAAGGTAGGTTTGAGGATCCTCAAAAACCTCTTTAAACTGCTTGATTTTGAAATGTTTGTTCTCAACACCGGTTTGGTTTTCTCGAAGCCGCTCAATGGCATATACTTTCTCCGCCTCAGTCAATCGGGATGTCATGGGATTATCTGGAAGGAATAGGACGACGAGGATGCCGGTAAATATAGTTATGAGGCCGAAGATAAGGAACATGACCTGCCATGGCTTGAATCTTTCACCGGTGTAAAATAAAAGGCCATAGGCACTGAGGGCTCCGATGATAGTTGCTGTTCCTGTTCCGGAATACCAGAATCCCATACGTGCTGGTTGCTCTATTTCTCAGTCAATAATTGCGATAGTCTGAGATTTCCCAATCGCGATATCAGTATATAACATACCTTTCTTCTTATACCACATTCCGGTAATTAAGATCAAGCTAGGTTCGTCATTAAACAGGGCATCAAGAAGTAATAGACAGGACTCTGTACCTTGGAGCAACTGAGGCTTCAAAGCAGCCCAAGAGAAGTCGGAGTACTAGAAGACCAGCAAAGTTTTTGGCTGCACAGTTGAGAGCGACCACAGTTCCCCATAAGATAACTATAGACAAAATTAGAACTGAATATCCGTATAGAGGAAACTCCGGGAAACACTAACGATTCGCCCCGAGGTACTTTGCTGTTGGAAGCCTCTGCATAAGATATCCAGTGGGAAGCTCGAAGAAAAGATAGGAAACGTAGAACGCTAGCCCAAGATAGGAAAATTGATTTGTATCTAAGTGGGCGTCTTCTAGAAGGCCCATGATGGATGCAAAATTGACTGTATAACCCGTTAGTAAATGATCGAAATACTTCCATTGTAATGGAAAACATACTGAGAACTTTGTCCACATATTGAAGGTTATAGCACGCCCACATCAGAGGAACGATCATCCAATCGATTTTCCGAAGTAGAGCCTTTTCATCAACTGAACTTAGGTCGATGTTATGCTCATGCAAAAAGTTATACGCGGCATCAGCATCCGCCGGGCGCGGATTGACCTTCTCATCCATTGTGGCTGCAGTTATATGGAGCAATGGACACGCTCAAGGCCCTCTTTTTAGAGGATGAGAGAAATCACAGATTTCCGAAATCCTGGTGAGAAGAAGGAAACGACATGCAGAATTGGAGACGCGCCACTGACTGAAATATATAATGCCGCCATACTTCAAAAGGGGTGAGGGGCAACTGTGAGACCCTAGGTATGTCCACTACTCCTCAAACGATCGTTGATGAGGCAAAGCAGGGAAGGACCGCCGGATAGCACGCCGATCGATATGGTAGCAGCGTACGGATTCCCTTTGTAGCTTCATGATACAGGGTATATCTGACGCAATGCGACATCATTTCTGCAGCATTGATGGCTGACTGTCGTGTAATCCAGGGCTTCAACCCAGATGCTTTATGCAGCATGGATGGGGGTAGGAGCTGAGAAGCCGATGCACATATCCGGGTAGTGGATAGAGGTGTTAGGGGGAGGTGGGTTTGCCGTCTAGCCTAAAGACGCACGAGCAAGTTCTTAGCTCGAATAGCTGAGGATCTGCACTTTAGTGAAGATCTGTCACGCGGAGAGAGGATCCAAACATGGATGTTTCGTTCCAAAGATTGAAGGGTGGCTAAACAGATAGAGGATCCTCGGTGACTGAATGGCTACCGAACTCGGTTGGGCTAGACTCCGCGTATGATCCCGATAACTAAAACATATGAGTCAAGGTGAATCACCTTGTTGTTTTCTTATTCAATTGATCCGGTGAATGCTAGATAGTTTATGGGAATATGGGACATAACCAATGATTGATACGTGTTTTATGCGGCTAGGTGAACTCTTGGCAAAAATGCTTGTTCAGACATAGATGGGGCAACAGGCGGGTAAGGCGGACTCAGCTTCCGGATATCCAAGGCTACCATGCTGCGTCCGTGAGGGGGATTTATGCAAGCAAAAGATCAAGAAGCTTTGCTCATGACCAACAGAAAAACACATATAAAACGTACAGAAACAGTCACGAGCTACTCGAAATGCCAACGTCGTATCATTCGTTTCAATCATCAGGACGGGTCGTCATAAATGGTCTACCAAAAAAGTCTGTAGGTAGGGTGTGTGTTCAACACACAAGAAGTAGCTCCAAGGAAAAATGAGATGCGGAGAAAATTGGAGAAACTTTCGTTAGCCTCGCAGCTGAGCATTATTACCAGGTTGACATATAGCTGAGCTTGGGTGGCTGCATTGGTCATTGGTCCACTGGCTATTTTGCTGAGGTAGACTAAAATTATCCCTGGCTCCCGACATATGAGCAAACCAATCATAATCTGGTTCGTTGTCGCTGTCGCCCATTTCGTCCAGCAGACGGTCAATTTCATCACCAGCGTTTTGTTCTAGCCTAGGCCGGCTGCAGTTTGCATACGGAGCTTCTCCACCATGTTCTGCAAAGCTAACACGTTTGGAATGAAGCGGGTCCCGTTCTCTAGGTTCGTAACTAAAAGGCATACCAAGTGTTGGAGGTGCAGAAGAAGTTGGAGCTGATGTGTTTTCGGTCACCGGGGGGTATTGAAATGAATCCTTTGAATTGCTAGGCGGGTTGGTGTGTGGTCGAGAGTCATTGTAGTACCCCGAATTTTCTGGGCTTCCCATGAAAACGAGAGTTTCAACTGCATCCTGCTCCATGATTGTTTTTTCGGTAGGAGTACAGTGTCTTCCAAGGATAGCCGTTGTTGCAGATGATGGGGCTTTAAATGAGGGTTGATGGGGTTGCGGAGGGGTAGCGGGAATAGGACAAGACCCCTGGGTGCCTATCACAGAGGAGCTTGAGGACTGCTGTGAAAGAGATGGGACTTTGAACTTTTTAGGGCTTGTGATATTTTGGCTTATTCTCCGTTTTGTATGAGGTCCATTTCCCGGAATTATATCTGCTGGTGGAGCAAGGCGGGGGATTTGGTGGAAGCCATTCGAAGTTGACCGCTCATAGGACAACTTTGAAGGAATTGAACCCATCGATAAATTGTGCCGATGGTATGGTCTAGACGAGCTGTTCAGTGGCTTGCTTTGTGGCATATCAGGCCGCAGGTTGCTATGTCCAGTCGCGATTTTTAACACTTGAGCCGCAAGATCGCGCTCTCCAACAGAACCGCTGAACTTTGGGGGTTGATTTGACGGTGGATGACCATTAGGTTGTATGGACGCATTAATTCCTCTTGGCGAATGTGTCTGGCTAGATAAGCTGAACTGCTTGCTGTTTGGGTTGGATTTCCAATCCTTTTCCACTTTTGCTGCTGCCCAGGATAATTTTGAGCGGAGTTGAGCCGATATCTGTGAACCATGGTGTTAACTCAACGTCCAAATGATTAAAATGGGAAAAA